TGGATGAGTCATGGTCATGGTCACTTATTGTTAGAACATAATTTTTATTGAAGTGGACCTGTTGTGTTGTAAAGCTGATAAACCATTCGGCTTACACTTGGACCAAGATTTCTGAAAGAATAGAAAAAGAATAATTATATAATATTTATTCATTGTTTTCTGGTAGATCAATCACTCACTTTGATTCTTAATAAGCTGAATTTGAAAGCCTGTTTTAAGGCACAGATTTATTGTTCAGTGCATGGGGATTTTTTGTGGGCTTTTAGAAAAGGTAGGTGAACAACAAATTAGTGATAATTTTGCCCACAGGATTCCTGATGTTTTTTCCCAACTCATGGTGGGCCTTTTATGAAAAGAAGGCGAACTTTCTATTTGTGATGATTTCTCCTGCAGCATCCCCAGTGATATTGAGGTCTTTAAGCAAAAGTAGATGAAACTCCCCATTTGTGATGATTTTGCAAACAGCATTCCAGATGGATAGTCCTTTTAGTCCTAGCTACTACTGACTGATAATCTATGCCAGTAAATACACAGTTTGAGATGAAAATCATTGCCAGGGTGTGATTGATAATAACTTTTCGCATCATCATGAAGAAAAAGAAGAAGAAGCATGGCCTGTCTTTTGCAAATAATGCACTTTTATGAATATCACTGTGCCCATGGAGTGCAAAAAGAATGTTGATGTTTCCTATCAACCATATCTGCTTATTGGACCTGAAGAGCAAAAATGCCTAAGATTAGGCTCAACTTAATTAAATAATAATGCATGTTTACAAATGTTAAAGCCCCTTTAACATCGCTCTAAGTTAGTTACCAGCAGCTGAAATATTGACATACATAATCGAAGGTATGCATTTATTATTTGCATCTGTATCATGTGTAAAGAAGAATATCTTCCATACCTCTGGGATTTACCATATTTCAAATTGGCCAAAAGCTTTTCCTTTCCAGAGTTTTCAGGTATGCCACCATATGCAGCCAACAACCTGTGTAGAGAATATAGATATTCACATTCGTAGTTATACATTTTTACAAGTCCACACAACTCAATACTGTTTTAAATGTACTGCCCCGACAAGATGCTTGTGAGCACTCATTATAAACTATATTTTACACATGAAGCAAATAATTTCCTCAATCCTTGAATTGAGTTAACATTTATCTTTCACTATACTAAAATCGACCCGCCATTTTCATATAACTGCCTTTATTTAACTAACCCTTGTGGAGTTCTGTATTTTTCTAGTATTGACTTTGCTTTCTCAGCCGACAGTCCACTTATCTGCATTAACTGCTTTGCAAACATCTCTGTCACAGTCATTGCCTAAAACAACATAATACATTGTAGTAGCAATTGTCATCTTATCAGGGATTTATAGGAGTACATATAAGCATAATATGAGATACAATTGGACAAAATTCATCACACACTGAACATCACCAGGTAGTTCCATGGCTTCAGTTGTGATGGAGTTTTCAGTATCTTTAAGGTGTCATTAAATAACTAAATTGCACGATGGATACTCTTTTCAGTGTACAAAATCAATATTCAATGTGATGTACACAATAGACTTTTAAGCTGCTTCCTGTAAAGACATTAGGTCCTTCAATTAGTCCATAGGACAGCTATTTACTCATGTTACTGTTATGTCTGAGCAAACTTTGAATATCTACTTCATCTACATATGTTAGTTCTTTTAAGCACATATTTACAGCAGAATTCGAAAAGCAATGTATGACAGGATTTATTGTAGTGAAGACAATAAATAACTTAGTTGATGAATAGATTTTGATTAGTATACCTTATAAACACTGTGCATCTTTAATTTACTCAAATTGGCCTTACTACTAAGTGTCGACAGCGATAGAACTTCTACATTAAACATATACATTTGTAGAAATTCTATGTTATTTGAGATCGCAAATCATATAACATTACTAGATATGCCTGAAACCTTGCCTTGTTTTTAATTGTCATCTGGTCAAACTCTGAAAATGACATCATCATTTGTTGACTGCAATGTACATCAGGT